GTCCCTTTTGCTGTTCTCCCCAAGAACCTTGAGGAGCAAGGGAGAGATTGTTTAGAGCTATCACTCCTTTTTTTCTTTTTTTTTAAAAATATTTACATGTTTGGGAAATGCTGGGGTGGAAATGGCTTGGAAAAAATAATTGCTGGAAATAGGAAATCTTGGTAAATGTCCTATTTTTCAAGAAATCCACTGAAGTATTGATTTTCATTAACTTTATTCTTTTTTTAAATGGTTTCCTGTTAATTTCTTTTAACAGCAAAGTGGTTAATGTTTGTTGTTTTCATGAAAGAAAATTAAAAAATGGTCTATAAAATCCTTCCATGAACCTTCATTTTCTGTTTTGAATTCAAGCATTTCCCTGTATGGTGCCCTTAACTTTTTTGGGACTGTATAATAGTTCAAAGCCAAGTTTTGCCCTTCTACAGGCAGAGGTATGTAAAAGCAGATCAGGCATACAGGCTGTAGGGGCAGTTATAGAGTGAATAATTTAGCAAGTCTTACTATTAAACACACGTGTAGTGTCAGCCCTAAAAATACCATGGGCTGTCGCTGTGGGAAGGTGGAAAGACCCTGTGGCCAGGCACAGCAAGTAATCTGTGCTGGGTAAAACTCTTTCTACACCTTCCTCTCATGGTTTGTCTCTGCTGGCTGATGGTCTTTATGCTTTTTTTTCCACTGGTTTTCTCCAGTGAAGTTTTGGCAGGCGTGGGCCATGGTGAGAAGCAGTGGAGGGGTAGAGGAACCTAGAGAGATTCCACTGCAAACTCCTGAGTGTTGCAGCCTCCTGAACTGGGGATTTTGTTCTTCCTCTGTTCTATTCACAGTAAGAAATAGCATCACCTTAATTAATTGCAAACTCCTGCTCGGATGGTCTCAGATTAAAAAGTGGCTTATTTCTGCCTTGGATTTATCTTGTTTCTGTAACATAATAAGCTTAGATGAAACACTTCTAGCTCCACTGCTGGAGGTACCCCTGGGGTGGCTCCAGCTGCTGACACACTCAGTACTCATGCAGCTCTAGCAGTACATGCATTTGGTGATGAGGGCAGGCTGCTGTAAGGAGTACACTGAAGAGAAGAAAGGGTGATCCCACAGGGGACTGCAGTGCCTTTCCTACTTGTTTGGGTACTGATAGTCTTCTCAGGAAAAAGTTGTTTTTAACTCATGATAATGAGGTAACTATGACAGAGGTTTCTGAAGTGCCAGGAGCAAAGGCAAGCTGACCAAATTCTGTGACTCACTTCTTCCTGGGGCTGCTCAACTTGCTTTCCTAAAGACTCAATATCCTCCAGTGCTGTGTATCTTGTTGGCTTTGCTGTGACCACTGGAACAAACCCCTAAGTGCTCCTATGACACCCCAAAAACTAGCCCTGTGGTATTACCTGCAGCTGCCTGTCTGCACCCACGATTATGCAAAGCTCCTGCTGAGCTGCTGGATGCTTCTTTAGCATCTGCTCTATCCGGGTTTTTGGCTCTGCACCACCTCTGTTCAAAGCTGGCTGTTCTGGAAGGCAGGCTGCTTTAACTCACTCTTGCCAGCTGTCACCAGTGGAGATTCACTGCCTTTACCTAGGGGATTTTTTGCATCTAGAGCTCTTTCTCACAGTCACAAGAGTTGGTCCTTTCTTCACGTGCTGGCTTAGTCTCATCTGGAGAGCACTTAGGTTTGGGCAACATGCAAAGTAAGGCAAAAACACATATTTGTGCTTTTATAATTTACTGTAGAAATGATCCCTAACAAGAGATAACAATGATCAAAGGCCTGGCTTGTGATCTGTCTGGACTTTACAGCTTGTTCATGCCTATTTGAAGTATCCAGTGACTGCAGGAGTTAGACAGAATCTCACCTGGTTTACAACCCTCATCTCTGACAGTTCATCTTTAGAGATGTAATGATGGAACATGGTTTAAAAGGCTCGACCTTATGGACTGCTTTTTAACTGGTAAACCATGATGTTTTTGTCAGAGTCAGCAGCCACCTGTTCATACCTTTTGTGAGATGGTGGTGGAAGCCCATTTTGTTATCTCTGAAAGAAATCTGATGGTGATGCTCTTGCAGCAGCATTGCTCCTGAGTAGAACTGACCCTGGGTCCTCGATCACTGAAGTTGGTCTCAGCTTCTACACTTCCTGAATCTAAAATATTAAGAAATGGTGGCACCAGAAAGGGCCTTCCAGGTAAATGTTGGGAAGTTCTGTTGGGTGGGATACATTTCTGCTGCTGTGGAGGCAGCCTGTGCTCAGGGTAACACTGTGCTCAGGGATAGCTGTGCTGGAGCCATGTGACTGTGGCAGGCAGGTACCACTCCAGCTCAATCTCTCCCTGAATGCTTAATGCAAAATTCAAGGCCTATTTCATATTTAAATTCCTTGCCTTCCTAATTTGAAAGCCATTAAGTTTTGGCCTTTGCTTTTAAGCAGATGGATGCTCATCATTTACTTGTATGGTCCCTTTTTGTGCCACCGTGTCTGTTAGGTGCAGGAAAAAATTTGCATTAGTATTGAGGCAGATCAAAAGATTTTCTTTGCACATATACTGCAAATAATGTCTTTTTCTGGGAGAAGAAAAAAAAAAACCCAGCAGTCCTTTCCATATGGTTTGGGAGAAGATCATGGTTAGTGTTTTTTTAAAAAAACCTCCCCCCAATGCAGCATCATGTGGCTTCTACTCTAGCGTGGGGGTAGGAGTTAAATGCTTCCTAAAAGTTTGTTGATCTATGAAAAAACCCAAACCAGATGAAACACCCTACCCACCCAGAAAGATCACCCTAATTTATGGGAGCTCTAAAAGGTAGGAGGATGACAGACAGGGAGGAAGGTGATCAATTAAGACATTAAGCATTTTGCACCACATGGACGCATCTGCATGGCAGCCCAATAATAAGGCCATCAGCTCATTTTCAGGGGGCTGTTGCCTACTTCAACTCAATCCTCAGATCAAAGAGAAAATGTCTGCTTGCATTTTCTAATCAGAAAAGGGATGCTAATTTAGGTTCCTTAATGTGTGGTGGTAAGAGACTTCTTCAATTAACTGGATTCTATAGCTCAGAAAATAAAAAAGGGGGATACAAAGGGAGTCAGGCTGGAAAGGCAGAAGTTCTCATTAAATCAAAGGTCCAGTATTCATTACCTCCAGCATCTGGGGCTAAACACTGAACATGGAGATCATCAAAGGGGGTTTAATGGGTTAAATTGAGAATATAATCTAATTAAAATATTAGATACGAGTAAATAGCTCTTTGATATTCATCTGAAGGTTTCATTAAAATAGGTACTTGAGGTTTGTATTAAGGGAGGATTATCACTTTTAAGCAGAAACAACAAGTTGAGGTTCCCTAATCAGAAATGCTTCAAAGTGTTACCATTTGGTTTAAAAATAAAAGTAGAAAAGCATCAACTGGCAGAGCATGGAAACATTTACCCAGTCTGGCTTGATGGATGGTACCACAGGCATGCATGCTCTAGGAGGGGCAAATGCAGTTCCCAAAGGTGAGGAGAAAGGAGGCTGAGGCAGAGGATGGCCCTGCTCCAGAAGCTGCACTCCACACTTTGATATGCAAAACATTTCCCCTGCAACCTGACCCACACTCCACCCTCCACTGACTGACTTCCACCCTGCACTGGAAGACACTTCTTCCACCAGGTTTCCCCCAGAGATCATGTGTGTCACAGATTTCCACCTCTGAAGACTAACAGGCCACCAACAGGATGGAGAGCTTCCTATCTCTGAGGTGGGTCAGCAGGATTTTGAAGAAGGGAACACAACCTTTTTCCATGATGGACAGACAAAGTATGGGGATTAATTTTTCCCACATTAGGTTGGGAGCACGACTGGAGCTCCTGCAGGGTGTATTTCCATTTCCATGAGGAATGAGGCATCCTGAGGACTGTAGGAGCTAGGTCAAGCTCACCCAGGACTCTGTAGAATGAAAAGTGTAGGACTTTTCCAGCAAAGGACTTTTCCACCTCACCTTTCCATTGTTAGCCTCCTTTAAGGAGGCTGAAACTCTTTTTTTCCCCCCAAAGACTAATTCTTTCCTCCCACACAAAGGAGGAGCTAATAAATTGGATAAAGCAATTACACATAACTTTAGTGTTTTGTTTTTTTTTTATTTTAACTAGCCTATTTTCTAAGAGATTTTAGTATGTGTTCTTCAAAATTCCCTTCCTTTATGTTCTAATTTAATGTTTCATGTGTTGACTTAATTAATAATTTACTAAGTTAAAGAAATGGAACCATCATAAGCAACCCATCTGTTTGTTGTTATTTTTATAGATTTAATCTGTTAAAAGCTATTTCCTCTCAAACATGTAGCTCTCAATTATCCTTAGTTAATATGTTTTCTTACTGTTTCTGGCTAATAACAGATTGTCTGCATGATCAGCCAGTACTTGTTTTGAATTTTCTTGTCCCAGATGACAAAATTTCAAAATTTTGGTCTCGATGTGATGATTATTCACTAGTAGATAATGGAGTAACATCTGAAAATTGGCATTATACCATTACCAACTGCTGTGGTTGGTGCCCATTTTTGTTCTCTTTCTTGCAAGCAATGTATTATTTTGGGCTTTATTTCTGGACAGTTTGTCAAAGTATCCTCTGCCCTTCAAAAAGAAAAACATTGCCAGTATTAAGATAATCAAATAAAGCTGATGTTTATTTTTAATTTTGTGTAGATACACCCATATGTTGGGCATATCTAAAAATGATCCACCTGTGACAAGGCAACAGCTGAATAGTCTAAAAGATGCAACTGCAGGATCAGTTGATTTCAAAGAAAAATAACAACAGAAATGATAATATTTAAAATGCTGCATATGCAACTGTTTACACTTGAAAAAATAAGCTCTAGTAGAACTGATTCTAAAATTTAACATTGATTAAACTCAAGCTAGTCTATATTTCAATGGAAAGGTAAATCTCTATGTGATAGTCATAGTTCATAATTAAATAGTACAGACATTTTTGCCTTGAAGATATCCCTAATGGTTTCAAAATACCTATAAAATATGAAGGGTTCTGAAAGCAGCTACAACTTGCTTCTCCTTCTCGTGTCTGTTTTGCAAAGATTCCAAGGATGCAATTTGAGGTAATCTGTCTCCATTTAAAATCTGTGGTAGAACTCCTTCCTCCTTCACCTCTTCATCTGAGCGTCTTGCCATGAAAGTCTTTGGTCTAGGAATCTTCTTAGCATATTCAAGTGCCTAAAAACATGAAATTTGGGGTAACTGATTTAGAGAAAACAGCATCATAGGATCAGGTTGGAAAAGACCTCTAAGATCAGCAAGTCCAACCATCACCCAACACCACTATGACCACTAAACCTTGTTCCCAGGTGCCACATCTACATGTTTTTTGAACCCCTCCAGGGCTGGGGACTCCAGCACCTCCCTGGGCAGCCTGGGCCTCATCACTCTTGCAGGGAAGAAATTCTTCTTAACATCCAATCAAAACCTCCCCTGGAGCAGCTTCAGCCCAATTCCTCTTGTCCTATCACTCATTATTTGGGAGAAGAGAACAACACCCACCTCACTACAACCTCCTTTCAAGGAGTTGTAGAGAGGCAGAAGATCTCCCCTCAGCCTCCTCCTCTCCAGGCTAAACAACCCCAGTTCCCTCTGTTACACCCATGAATATTCTACTGTGACTGGAAATTTCTTTACCAGTAACACCCAATCTTCACAGGACCCACACATGCTATACTGAGAATATGAACAGCAGCACAAAATAAAACTAAATATCGACTTAGAAATATATTTCTAGAAATAAAACTAAATAAAGACTAAATATAGAGATGATATTGCCTGTAGAACTATGTAGGTTCTGTCTAATTGGGCTTAGGGTCTACTGCATGATAGGCTCAACTATTACAAATAAAAAGAGTGCTCAAGCTTTTGTTCTAGATCTGACATGTTTCACTGAAGCTGAGCAGGGCTATGAGGGAAGAGGAATGCAGAGCAGAGACACCTGTAAGAGTGCCCAGTGGTATGGAATGATGTGTGGAACCCAGAAAGCTGTCTTGCAGATGGAATGGAAATGGTATTACAGAAATCCTGAAACTGAGAGAGCCCTGGTTTAACCTGGGACATATTTCAGTGTCTGTGTTTCAGTTGCATGTATTTGGAAGCTACTCAAGTTCCTGTTTGTCACCTTGGAGAAATATCTGCCAGTGTGCTTTCAGCACCAGACAGGTGAGCCCCTGCAGAACCAACTGGATAAAATATGTGCTATTTCCAGAGCTTTATTACTTCCTGCTATAGGGAAAAGGTGCTCCCTTTGCTTATGTATGCCACTGTCATGTAGTCAGTCCTTGCTTGTTCAGGCTATTCTGAAGGGCAGTGAAGGCTAAAGTGATGTTGTATGGGCTTGAAAAATAAGACAAATTACTGTAGCTATGCAGCTGAAGTGAAAAGAGTTTGTGAGTGAGACTGACAGGCAGGTGGATAATAGACTAACAAGAGAATATCTGTGGTCCATTAGAGGAGTGCACTCTGCAGTAGTGTGGCCTCTGCTGCTCCTGAGGAGCAGAGGATGTGCTGCATGGTGTAACGTTCCTGGAGGGATCCCACTCTCCTCTATTCCCACCCATCCCCCAGGAAAACATCACTGGCTGTTTAAGCCAAGCTGAGCACTGGTAGTCTGGGTGGAGTGCTGCTCTGTTTCCACTTGGTGTAATCTCACAAAATGCAAGGCAGATGCATGGACTGCTGTTGGGGAAGAAATCAGCAACTCCTTGCAGACATCTACAGCCCCTGCCAGGATCCCATGAGAGCAGAAGTCCTTAGAGTCGTCAAAAGAAAACCACAACGGAGAAGCTGTTTTAGACTGCTGTGAGTTAAATGTATGCTTTGCTTTTCCCTTGTGCCAAGTCCAGAATCTCTCCCTGCATGCATTTTAAAGGGACAATTCTTACCTTCTGTCTGGACACTGAAGATGTGACCTGGGGTTTTGTGGGTAGCCTCTGAACCAAAGCGATGCTCTTCATATTGTGCTCCTGAATTTGCTTTGCATACTCCTTTTGCTGCTTTAACTTTTCTTTCTGACAAAAGGCAAAAAAAAAGTGTATGGTTAATCAAATATCTTGGTGGATCCATCAATGAAACATTTCTTCCACTTAAGAGTCTTCCATTTAGACCTCTGTTGCTGTTTAACCTGGCTATGCTATTGATCATTCCACAGCAGAACACAACAGGAAATCCTGATAAATGGCACAGCTTTTTTAGTCACTTCACTTTTAAGAGCTTTTTCTAGGACTGTATTGAGGATAGAGCTCAAAAGAAATGCAACAGGTTCATCTTTATTCTGAATGTTTCATTATCAGCAGAGAACAGGTCAAATGATACCAGTTCATCAGATACTTGTTGTGAACACACTGTCTCCATTTCAATATCCAGCAATTTTCTTCTTGTGTTTACACAACAACTTCTTTTACTTCCACTTTGAAGGCTGGGCAAACCTCCTACACTGGGAATGACAATGGAACTCAATCATGAGTGTGTATTACTGATATGCAATTAGCCCTGTTGAGTTCTGTGAACTACTCCCTGTTTCTGGAACTACAAAATTAGAGGGTTAGAACTATCCACAATACAGTTGTCTCTCACCTAAATCTCCCCTTAGGATCTCAAGCTAGACCTAGACAGAATGGAGATAAAGTACCAGACAAATCAGAGTTGCTTCTCAGCAGTGATTTTTTTGCCATTCTCCCCTTCCTAAGTTCACCTGAAAGGCAGACCATGTAATAAGGACCACTTACTTTCTCTTTGACTGCTTCATAGTCAGGTCCAAGGCCTCCAAGCTTCACATTCAGATTTATGTGGGGCTTTGAGTTATATGGCTGAAAAACAAACAGCACTGACACATTTTCCTTTACATGATCTTACAGAGAGCATCATTAAAGCAAGTCTTGTAGTGGACACCCAAGATAAGAGGAGGATTCAACTTGCAGTCTTAGTCTTATCTCTAGCATGTCTCATTTTAAGGATTGTAAGTGACCAAAAAAAAAAGAGTTCCTTGCACAAGGCAAATTAAACTGTATTTCCTTTGAATCTAGGTGGGTAATTGCCAATCATCCAAATCACAAAGCAATAATTTCTCAGTCAAAAATGATCTATTGTGAGCTTTATTGTTAAACAGGTTAAAGTGACCCAGTTGACTGTTATTAGAATGACTCCAAAGAAACTGTTATAAGAGAAGTAGATGAAAGTTACCTGATTTTGGTAGTTAAAAAAATAGGCAAATGTTATTAGTGATAATAACCTTTCTTTGTTCTCAAAACTGCAATGGAAAATTGTTCACAGCAGTTGAAAAATACATGTCTTGTAAAGTTTTTGCTGTGCTGCAAGTGCAGAGGGAAGACAGCAGATGAGTGATGGATGATGCCATTTCAATACTTCATGACATTCATACAGACACCCCAATACTTCCAGAATCTTTTTAATCTCTTTCAAGAACACTAGATTAACTGTTAGAAGTGGACTATGCTTTAAAAACTTGTCACTGGAAACTCATTATGATCAGCCCTGTAGTAATTTGTATCACAGAGTAATGCAGAAATCCTAAGAAGTTTCTTTAGGCAAATAAAATGTGTATTTCTTCAGAGGGCATGTTCATGTTGAACTCAACTGCAGACAAGCTGATTCTATGGACTGGATTTTCTATTTGATGTTTCTCTGTGTCAGTTCCCCCTAATCTTTTGTGATATGCTTACACCTAACTTTTAATGTAAGGTACTATGAAGATATAATCATTTAGCTGTTTCCAAACAGGGTTTTCTCACTTCATGTGGTGAGTATGACTGCATTTATTTCTTAGGAAAAGATGGATTTTTCTGTGACACATAAGCAGTCTTATTCTCTGTGGCATTCCTCACATATGAAGCGTGAGAAAGCTACTGAAAATATGGGGCAGAAACAATGGTTTCAACTCAGGGGAACAGAAAGGGAAGGAAATCTGCCCTTCAGTTACTATCATAATCCAGCTAATTCTTCTTAGAGGCATTCAAGCAGCAACACACAAACTGCCTCCTAGATGAAACACATCAGTAATTATTCCAGCTTAGTTTGTCTGCCTTGAGACTTGGAGCTAACTTCTTAAACATTTAATTTGTCATGGACACACAGAGATATCTCTGTGCTGTTCCACTGCATCTGTGTTAACTGGTTACTGCAGGAGACTGGACACACAGAAGAAACAAAAAGAGCCAGGTTTTAATAAGGACCAAAATGGGATCATCAGGAGACTTGCAATGCTGTTTATACCATTAGTTTTACAAATCCTCTAAGTTTGTGGTTGTTCAGTTTGATTCCCTTGGAAACCAGAAGATTTGAATTGGACAGCAAATGAGCATGACCAGGATAATGGTTTGCTCAGATCTGAGGACTGGCTACCTGCTGCTTTACACAAATAGCTTTATTCTAAATCATTTTATCACTGGATAACTTAAAGGACAAACATTGCTCTGTGTGTTCTTAGAGCTAATCAAGACTGAAAGGGACACAGGGAGAGGTGGTGAACTGCCTTGCTCTTTAGCCTAAAATGATTTTAGTGTCTGTTTCCTTGGTTTTGAATGCTCTGGGCAAGTCAGTGTCTGTCAGTGTGCTCTCTGTAGCAATGGAATATTTCTCAGTCCCTCTTCTTTTGTTTGTTTGTTTGGGTTTTTTTTTAAGACCTTTAGCTTATTAAGGAAAAACTGTTACATTTCTGTTTCTCCCTTTGAGTAAAACTGCCTAACCCACCTCTATTTGCTTACCTTCTTGCTGACTTTAGGCTGGTTTTGCTTTCCCATTTGCATGACATATCCTTCTGAGCTGCTTTGCATTATGTTCACTGGATCTCCTTCACTGCTCTCTGGATCTGCCTCTGAACCACCTTCTACCTGGGGGATTATATGTGGAAGCAGGCTGAACAAGTGCCTGTCAGTGAAGTGAGCTTCTGCCACACGAGTGGTTTCTTGGTGATGTTGCTCCATCGATTGTGTGAGCTGGGAGGTTGTACAAGGGGCTGCTGGTGAACTGTGAACAGAAGACTGAGAAGGCCTCAAAAAAAAACAAGAGGGGGAAAAATAAGAATCTTTATCTGTATGCAGCAGATATCTCAACAAGCAGTTTGTACACAGAGTGATTCTTGCTCATGGAACATACTGGGAAGAGGAGGATGGAAAAAGAGGTGTTTCACAGTGACTGCCTTTCCTTTACCCAACTGTATGGAAACTCTTTAAAATAAATGGAAATATTATAGATGGGGAAACTTCCAGCCTGACACAGAGCTTGCTTAGGCCAGTGAAAACTGCCTTGAAATGGCTTTGGATTGGGCCTGCTGAGTACTGAAAGTATTGTCTATATGACATAAAACCTTCATTTTTATCAAGGCAGGTGAAACTCTATATAGCTGAGGATTTTCATGCCCTTCCCCAAATGTAGTGAGCCTGGACAGGCACTGGAATGACTCTGGATTGTCACCCTGCAAGGCAAGTTTTGATACAGCTCTGTGCAGGTGCAGTACAGTTGGGTTTATGCACAGTGCTCTTTGCTACCTATTTTTTAAAATTCACCTTCTAGCCTTTCAGAAGGAAGCTTTGAATTGTGAAAAACTCTATGTGCAAGAGAGCCTGAAGTGCAGAACTGTCTTTTCCCAACACCATATTTAAAAATCAATAGTTAAAATGAGTCTTAAGTTTGTAGTAATCTATAGTGGCAACTTTGTAGCAAAATAATTTTATACTTTGGATTTTAAAACATTTATATTTTTTCTGGGCATTGTAGTATGATGACAATACTGTTTCATCACTTATATCCTTACCATAAACTATGGACAGCATAGTTCTGATACCTTTTATCTGCATAGATCTGTCTTTTGCAATCCTGGAGTGATACTTGGTCCTTTGGCAGTTCTTGAAAACTGGCATTAAAAGCAGATGAAATATTCCTCTGGTTTGGATCTGCTGGGCCACTGGTACTGTCATCTCTTCCAAAAAGCTGCACAGTGACACGGTTGTACAAATGTTGCTGGTCCTGTGGAAGTCCATGTGAAGAATCATGCTGATATTTCTTGTCCTCCTTGCTGGTATATGCTGGTGATACATAAATTTTACCCAGCAGAGGTTGTAATGTTGGATGAAGAGGATAGGTAGGTGTGGCAAAATCCTGATTAAGAAAATGTCTTGAATTTGATAAGTTATTTAAGCAAGTAGCTGAATTTGCTGCTGTATTAGTGTCAGGGCCAAGAGAAGGATTTGCATATGGCCATTTCTGCAGTGTGCTGCTGTTGTCTTGCTCCACTGCCTGCATGGGAACAGCCTGAAACTCTGGTATTTGGTGATGCCAAGACTTTGGTTCTGCAGGTCTTCCTGGTGTTTGTTGGCTGTCATTCCTTGGGGAAGGTCTCCCTTTGAGATTCTGGTTGGGTTTTATTTTATTTCTCTGAGATGACTTGTTTTGGTGACCCTAAAACAAGTTATCAAAAGTAGAGGTGCATTTCAGTGATTGCTATTTTATATTTTCATTAAGAACAACAAGTGTAGGGGTAAGTCTGCTTGTCACAATGTCTTTCATGTAGTTATTTCTTAGAACTCTAAAAATTAACCCATTAACTGATGCTTTGACTAGAAGGCAACATGTGACAGAATCACATGGTAGGGGTTGGAAGGAACCTCTGGACATCATCTGTTCTATGATTCCAATTCAGGACAATATTGTTATTTCAGACAGCCCTTAAATAGCTGTGCAGGTTACAGTGAAGCTGAGCTCTGGACATGTACTTGGAACATGTGTTGATGTGGTAATTTGAACAGTTACCTGAACAGGCTGGAGTGCCTCATCATCTGTCCCTTTACAAACCAGGGATGTATGGAGCCAGCCACCCCTGTTGAAGGTACACCCACAACTAGAAAAGGGTTATAGCAACATTTTATTGCCTTATTATGAACAAATATCATGATGGAAAGTAGTTTCAGAAATGAGCTCTTGGTAGAGAATGAAGTGTAAAAGGAGAAGCACCTGTGTCCTGCAGTTTAGTATGGTATTGAGAACAGCCTGTCTTTGCTGCTTGTGTCTACCCCTGACTTGGTAACCTATGCTCATGGTTATAGCAGGTGGTGGCCTGGCTACACTTAACCCAAAATTAAAATATGTCAGAACCCCTAGTCAAGAACAGAAGCACAGATGCTATTCAGGTGTTACACAGACAATGCAAAATACTCCATCAAAACTTTGCTTAATGGGCCTGAGTCAAATTCTGAAGCAGAACACTATAAAAATGGTTAATTTTTAATAGTTACTTCATAACTAAGAAATAATGCTGTGGTAAATATGGAATGAAGGAGTTGTATCTGAATGAGGTGAAAAAAGAGCTGCCCTTCAATGCACAAGACTACCTGTTTCGAATGCTGTGGACAAGTGGCAGCTCACTGGCAACCATCTGGGGAGAATATTTTTTAAAAAACTCAATTCTTGTTTTTTATCCTGTAATGAAAGTAAACTGCTAAGTTTCAGGAAAAGATGGCCATGTACACACTGTTGGACTGGCTCACAGTAGAAACAGACTGATATGAGTGATTTAAATGCTTTCATTTCTAAAGCAAGTGCTCCTCCCTGCCCTGTATTCTGCAAAACATTATCCAAATGATAAGAATTTAAGAAATTGAGCACACCAGGACTACTGTCTTGAGCTAACCTGACTAAATGTGGAGTTTATTTAAGATCTGTCAGTTTTCAATTACAGCATCAGGAGTTACCTGCTTTGAGGAAGGACACAGCTTTCCTTCTAGGGAACACATGAATCCATTCTCAGTCCATTTAATCCTTCTCGGTGCTAAAATCCTCCATTTCATCCTCCTGTCTCTCCAGGGTTCTTTTGTTAGCAACACTTGCAATCACTACATAGCATATGCACTCAGAATAACTGCTTAATGGTAGGTATTAAATCCACATATAGAGCAGGATGTTTGGGTGAAAGCTTTAGCACTGGGGAAGCCTGACTCCTGGTGCCAAGATGATGATTTGTTAGCACAACCTCTGCTGTAACAATTAATGTTCTGGCCTACTGTGTGGCTGGTGGAAAGCACAAACTGCTGCCAAACTGAGGCCAGGCCAATGTTTTCCTATTTAAATGGGATGAGCAGCCCTGTAAAATACCTTCTACCTTTTGAAATTCCATATATATGAAGCACATCTCTCACGATGAACAGCAGCATAAAATCTCATTTGTCCTTCACAGAAGTGCAGCTTGCAGTGAACAGCAGGGAATGTAAACAGTCTGCCTGAATTACTTCAAATATGTGTAACACAGGGAGAGTAACAAGGTTTGCCAATAAAAATTCGAGTTGCCTTGAAGTTCTGGTTCTGAAGTTCTTGTTTTTTCATCAGTGGTGATAACCTGGTCTCTTTTTTATTAGATTTATATGTACAGAGGAGGTCAATGCAACTTCTGCTTCTATCATTTTCTGTTTTCTAATAACCCTTTGATATTCACAGGGATTTTAGGGGACAACCAACCCCTAACATTCTGTGATTCTGTGACAAGTAATGCAACAGTAGTTAGGGTCTAGCTCAGAACCCTCATGAATTATCAAACATGACCATGTACTCATTCATGCTTTTGCATTATTATCAAGAAAATAATGTCCTTAATAGATAACATTCTTTGAGCTCAGGATTTCTTGGGATTTGGGATCTATTTTGATTTAAAATCATACAGTAAATAAAGCAGCATATGCATTACATTTTGGTGATTATCTACTGATATATATACAAGGATTTATTATCAGCTTTTATATATATTAATTTTTTAATATATATCAATTATGTTCTATTAAAAAGGAACCTTGAGCTGCTGTGCTTTCAGGTGCCACTTGTCTTCAGGCTCCATTTTCACAGTCTGGAATGGCAGGACACTCTGAAGGGGTTCCTCATCAACACTTTTAGCATCAGCAACCTGAAAACCAAGAATATTTATGGCTACATACATTGGGGAAAGACTGAGAAAAAAATTTGCTTTTGAACTTTTTGTTTATACCTGTGTTGTCCCAAAGTATCCTGTTAATTACTATAGCAAGTGTGTGATTAGGCAGTCTCACTGTAGAGGCTACAGCTAATTATGGTCTGGACTCATGCTTGTGGTAGAAGCATCTATGCACCACATCTGTAGAGCAACACTGGCACTGAGAAGATATTTGTGGCCAAGAGAATTGTTAACTGAAAGTCCTAATGGTGACATCAGGGAGGAGGTGTTACATCCTTCTGGGGAGCTGAGCCTCTCACCTCTGGGGGTGAGGGATTAGGACAACTAGGAAAAGGCAGGTAGGGCTTATTGCTGAGTTTTCTGGTGATATTGTTGCTCTAAATGGTGACACGGATTCTATTGGTTGTGACTAGAAAAGTTTACAAATTAAAAGTTACCACACAGGTTTCCTGAACTGTGGCTAGAGAGAGCTTTGCAGTCAGCAGGATGTTTTTGGTGGAACCAACAGCCTCAGTGTATTGATAGTTTGCTGGGCAGGTAAAGCATACTTCTACATTATCTCTTTGAAAGAGGAACAGGACACAACCTCTGCCAGCATTTTTTTGTGAACTATTCTATTAATACCAATCAAATTGAGAAAATGATCAAATGAAATTGCATTTTGAGAATCATAAGCTGTGTAATGCCTATTCTGTTAAATTGAGGCCCATAATTGCTTCTCTACTGAAAAGATACAACAAAGACAGCAATCATGGCATGTCATTATCCCAGACTAGAAAACCGGCCTTTGCAGGGAGGACTTCAAAGGCTTGTGGTTCTCGAATTGCATTTGGCTGCTATTGTTGGAGAGAGGGCAATCTTGATTAGGTGTTTACACTGAGGTAAGGCGCAGTGCACAGAGAGTCTGAGTGCCTTGGTCTAGAGCCATTAAAAAATTGTACATTATGTTCCTTGCTTTGAAGTAAGGGGCTTGTAGGTAGGAAAAGCAACTCCTAGTGAGTACAGCTGAGCTAGAGCAGGCCACTACTGCTCCCTCTTTCTTTCTTTTTCTCCCTCTCTCTCTAAGAAATGCATCATCGGGTTCTTAAAGAATCAGGCAACACTGCAAAGAACTTGATGCTTTATAAATGACTTTAAAAATTAGTAAATACACAGATCAACACACGTTTATGGTATGTTTTGGTACATGCAGTCTGTATGCACAGAGGCAACAGCTGTAAATCTTGCAAGAATGAGGCTGCAAAGATTTTACCTCATGTTATGTCAGCTGAAAAAAGATTTAGGTAAAGGACTTCAGTGTAAATGCTACTTCATTACCACACTACCTGACAGCCAACAGTGAACATATTAAAAGCAGCTTCGATATCCTGCCAAGCTCAAAATAATCAGTTTAGGGGAAAAAACAGTGTTCAGGACATGTTTGGTCGCTCCAGCAGAAGACATGTGGCTTGTTTGCTTCTTCTCATACTTGGTGTTTTGGCCCTTTTGATATGCTTATCCAGGTGAGGTGACTAAAGCTGGCTCATGGGCCAGCTCTCCTCAACAAGATGCTTCCACCACACCTTTTTTCAACCCCTCCAACAAGATGGAGTAATGGATGCCTCGATGAAGAAGAGGGGAGGTAAGTCCTTCTTCCTGTGCCTGTCCACAGCAACCACAAAGTTAGCTGGTCATGTTGTGGCTCTATCAGCTTGTCAAGGAAAGAAACACACCTTTCTACACACATGCTGCCTGGCTCCTGCTATGTCACAGCTCTGCTGTCCCCATGGCTACTTCAGTGAGGTAACCTTAGAACATATCCCTGATTTTAAGAGATTTTTTGTTTTTATTTTTACATAGCTTTGAACAGTGTCTAGGCAATGAAGTCCTGATCCCTGCCTCCAGTGCTTACATCTGAAACATTTCCAGAATTCCCCAAATAGTAAACATAATCATATCAACACAGCTTTAATTAGCATCAATCTACACTAATTATTTTTACCATCAACCAAATTATAACCGAAAAAAACAAGTGCTCTTAATAGCTCTGCTAGAAAAAAAAGACTTGTCCATCATTACACTCCTTGTAATGTAGTCAGCAGATGCCCTCTAATGTTGTGTCAACTGTTCATTAGCCTTGGTAAATGTGTCACTTGAAGCAGAAAGTCTCTGTAGTTTTGCAAGTTAAGAATTTTCTATGCTACAACTCATGGAGTGATTCAATGACTCCCACCTTCCCATTATGCATAATAACTAGCAAGTAAAAGCAACAAACTCATGTATAATCGTTCATTAGGAACTGTAATTACATTTCCACTTAATCCTGAGGACAAGTTGTCTGCCATTTTTCAGCCAATAAGAAAGCTAGGCCCTTCAAATCCAAGTACTGGACGTGACTGGTGGCTCCTGACTGATGTCAAACAACATTTGGCCTGGCTGAGAATGCTCCTAAGGGGCAAGGGTTGTCTGACCACCCAAATCTAACACATATTTCTTGGATACTGCCACATGTGTGGCCCTAAACCACAGGAACAAGCAAGAGTGTGCATGGCCCTTCCTAGCAGTGTGACCACAATGTGTTTTCTGGTTTTTAAACTCAGTTATAAACTTCCCAGACACTTTTTTGTTATGATCAATGAGGGTAGAAAAAGACTAAGCCCATTTCTTTAAAGCCAAATGATGACATCAAGGTTTCCTACTGCAGATCAAAAATTGTGAGTGTTCTGGATATTAGAAGCAATTTCTATTTGGTGCCTTGGGCAAAACTTGGAACATGCTTTTAGCAGAGTTGTCCAAGCAGGGGAAAAATCAGAGGCAGCAAAAAAGGAACCACTGATAAGGTGCAACATAGATCCCATAGAAGGAAGACAGCCCTTCTTTAGCATCAAGATTAAAACTAGTGAGAGAGCATCCCTGTGACCTGCTTCATAGCCAAGAATATATATAGCTTAATGAGGCTGTAACAAGGCCATCACTGGGGATATGAGTAACTCAGGACTTGCCAGTTCTTCTGTAAAGGGTGAACAACATCCTCACTGGGAATCAGAAGTAATTAGATTGTAAATCTACCAACTTTCTCTGCAAATCTGATCATGAGCTATTCCATTGTTACAGTAGAGAGTCCTCAGTTTGTGTCCATTAAAAACCATGTGGAAGTTACCTACCTGTACTTGAAGAGCTTCTTGCTTTTTACTGTGCAACTGAAGGTAGGAATTCATCTTCTCTGAATGGAATCCTAAAGTCTGTTTATTTTTTTCCACAAAGTTTTTTTTTTCTCTTTTTGGTCGATCTTGTTGAATCTGAAGAGAAAAAGCACTGCCATATGTACTGGGACTACCTTTGAGATGACAGCCATCTGCAGATTCCTTCCCTTTGGTATGTAGCCTGAAAGGTTCATTGCTGGCCACAGCATTTGGTAATTCTGTACCAAGCTCTGAGAATGGATCCTGTGACCTGACCTCCAGGTGATTCTTTTCTTCTGGGAAGCCACAGGAAAGGAGGTAAAATGCATCCATGCTGCTTCTTCCAGCAACTCCACAAGCTTTTTCTGCCTCAGAAAATTCTGCTACCTCTTTTGTATTCTTCCAGTTAGGATTGTACCTTAGGCTGAAATATTTGTCCACAGATTGTTGTTTCCTATTTAAAAAAGAAACACAAAGCTATTTATGTATAAATTATATGAATTCTATATTATTTCACTGTGCAATCTGAGAAATGTTCTGCAGCTTTGGTTGGGCATAAGAGGAGCTATGGCAGGAGTAAGGAGCATGGGAGTAAAAAGCTTTTAACACTGTTTTTCTTAACTGGATCTGCAGTACAGTCCTGGTTTCTTGGGCACTGACAAATGCTGAGCCTTTGAGTGACATTCACTTACAGGCACTGAAATCTGGTCGACTCTTCAACTCCTGTTAACAGAAACGTACCCCTCTGCTGGATTCCCCAAACTGTGGCAGAGGTGATTATATTACCATTTCCATATATTATTTAGGCATCCTTTCTAACTAAGTTACATGCCTATGCCTATATTTCAAGTGGCTCCTAATCAAGAAATAAATCTCTTTCTCTGGCAATGCTTTTCATTTCAGACAGGCATCCAGTGTTCTCCAGATTAGATGATCTACACTGGTGAAAACATTATTATTCCGAGTTGTCCTACACCGCAGGTAAACAGAAATAGGTGACCATATATTTGAAATGAGTACAGAAATATGTGCTATAATTGCAGTGATTCAGATAACACAGTATAATGCTAAAGAGTTCTATTGTGCTGAAATGTGTGCACAGCAGCTCAATTGTAGGATGCAGGCCAGGTCACCGCAGGGGAACAAAACGAGTGTGAAGAGCTCCTTCATCTCTAATCATCCGCAGACAAAAAGTGCACCTTTTATTCCTCCCCCCAACTCGATACAAAGGTTAGATGGACTCTGTACTCATCAGCAGAAGTGTTGTATGTAGACAACAGATGCAGGGTTTCCTCTTCAAATTCCGAGGTTAGTAATGGATGTAGAGAGGGGGTTTCATATGTATATGCTGTGATATTTGCTCTGGTTAATGGACTATATTTGAGTACTTACTAGGCTAAGTTCAAACAAAATAAAATTAAATTTCCATTTAATGAAGAGCCTCACATTCACCACAGTATTCAGTCAAAAAATTACTAAAAATTAGAGCATGTTTCTAGTACAATTAACATCATTTGCACTCACAATAAAATATTCAATAACTGGCCATTTTGCCTGTTGAGGATGCGAATAAAAGTATGCTATTAATCATTTAGCCTTCATTTGTTTGCCATTTTATTTTAAGTAGACAATTAAATTGAAACTGCACATTATTATTACTTCAGGTTTAATTTAATCCCTTTAAACTTGAGAATTATTCCCAATTTATACAGCATTAAATCTTTTATGTGCACGACAGCAAATTCAATTTTATTTCATGCAGCAAGTTAATGCTTTCTAAAGAACGTTTCTAAAGGTGACAGTAACCCTGGAAATTTTGAGATTTATGAAAGCCTTAAGGACAAAACTTAAGCCCTCTGGTCTTGAAGATGTCAAGTGTTAAAACCTTTAAAGTGTTGAAGTTTTAAACTCATCTCCTAAACCCCTAAGCCTTACCTGCCATTACCATCATCCTTTTGTGTTGTATTTGTGTGTTGATTTGTGTCATACTCGGCTCCTTCTTGTTCTTCTAAAATCGTCTCCTCCAAGCTGTCTTCTTCCAAGCTGTCCCTCTCCAGCTCCTCAGAATACACTCCCACCAGCTCCTCATGTTGGTGAATCCTCTGCTGGAGTTGTAACTGATACTGTGCCTCCCGCACAAGGCTTTCCCAGTCAGACTCTAGGGAGTCCTGAAGACCTGAGGCAAAGCCCCCTTCATTTACAGACGGCCTTTTCCAGTTGGCAGGGTGGAATTCTGGTTGCAGAGGAACATTTTTTTTACTCATGTTGCAAGTGTGTGGAGAAGGAACTGAAATGTACTTCGGATGTGAAGAATTCATTCTCTGTTTTGCACTGATGCCCTGTGTTTGAAAACAAGAGAGTAAACATGAAAAGGTTTTTCACTCTAATGATTGTATTTGTTAAAAACTGGAATTTGGGTTAGTATCACTGGCTTAGGCTCAGAATTTGACCTTCTATAGTTAGAACAATTCTTCACTCTCATCTGATAGACTGATTTCCCTTTAAGCAGTTAATAACACCAGATGCACGACGTGCTGCTATGAAATCTACCTTTAAGTATTAGTGATAACAAAGCCCATCAGGGAGAAACAGCTTATGGAGAAGAAAAATGAAGCCAAGACAAAGCAACAAAATTTTGTGTTAATTTTTGAGAGGTGAGAGAAATTTTATGTGTTCTCTTTATTCAACTTCATTCTATCCCGACGTGTAAGCTCCCAACAAGAGGCTGTCTGTGACAGGGAAGCACACAGTGAAAGCAACAGGGACACTTCGTAAGGAACAGTTTCCTTCCATCTGACCGCATTTAAACCTTCCCAAATCGTTTGCAGGGCAGACACCCGCGGGGCCGAGCGCCCGGCAGCGCAGCAGAGCCCG